GTAGTCATACTGTGTCTGTTGTGTACATTCCTCTCCTTTAAGAATAAGTCTTCTTAACCTACTGGCTACCTCATGGTGCAGCTTGGATTGTTAAGAGCAGGGCACAGTGTATGTGATCACAGGTCATTGAAAATTTGACCAATCTTGAGGTTGAGAGGCTGAGGGCGTTGCCTTGCTTGTGCTTCTGCACCCTCATGAGGTGAAACTAATCCCTGGCTCGGAGTAAATAACAGCGAGCACAAAGAGCAAACAAATTAAACCACAGCCTTCTTGTGACCTGGTTTCATTGTGGGGCTGGTTCAGTGCTTTTTTTTTTTTATAGTTATCTGCCACCTGACACAGTCAGGATGCTGTATTTCCTGAAAGACTTGTTTTTTTGTGTTCCCCCCCGTTGGTAACATACAGAGCTGAATTGTGAAGTATAGAAAAAAGCTGGTATGTTGTTTGGTCTGCAGTCGTTTCAGTTGAGATTCAGGGCAGGGATCTGTTCAGCTTCCACACGGGTTTTGTTTGTGAGGATGGTTGTGGCTGCTTATGAACTTCAGCAATTGGGGGTTAGAAACAAAATCAGGATAGTCTCTGTCTGTCCCAATTCACTGAAAGAATGTTGTTGGCTGTGTAAAGTCGTCCAAGGAGATACTGCTCATCTCTGACTGAAAGATGGAAGGATGAGGGAGTGGGGAAAGGGGCTCAGACAGTGAGTTGGTCACTGACCAAGAGAAGTGATATGCAGGCTACTGAATAATGATCTGCTCTGAAGCTGTAATAAACCATTCTAACAGACAAACAAAATCTTTAGTAAAGATGTGACTGCTTATGCTAAGAGAAATTCCCAAAGCAGCTGGAACACTGCTCGGTCAGTAGCAGCTGGCACAAGTAGCATTATCTATAGGTTCAGGGTGAATATTTCTGTTTATCTTACTGGTTCAATTCCAGTTCTCTTCTGAAGTTTAGAAAGTTACTGTGAAGGTTCAGAATGAATGAAGATTTTAAAATAAATTTCCCTGAGATCCCAAGTGAAATCCTTAGTGGAGGAGGAGGCTGAGCTGCCTGTCTTTGAGTGTGTGTGTCTGTGAGAAATTTGGAAGGCCTGCTCAGAGGAGGAGCTGGGAACTTTCTACTTTGTTTTCATGATGGCGAGGAAGGAAGAAATATAATAAAATTATTTTCCAAGGGCAATTCTTGTTGGAAAGGCCAATGAGAATTCTTTATATGTGTCCAACAGTCTTAAGCACTGTGTGCGATACAGATGTACAGAAACCTGGAACACTGTCTGAAGCAACTCTGTTGATAATTCTTTCTTTAAAAATAAATTAGTTCCCATGCAGACTGACTTTGATAAACTTACTTTCTTGCGTTCTTAGCATGCTAAGTTCTACTGCATTTAATTTTGGAGGGACGTCACAGTTCAAGATAAATAATCCATTGAGTGAAATCATTTCAATGTAATTAAAATGTTCAGTTTAAGCATTTGAATAAATGTATGAAATACTGTATAAATAGGCTGTTATAAATGTTCATATATTCTATTCTTGTTTAGCCAAATGTGATATATTGGCTAGAATTAATCTTATGGAAAATTAAATCACATTTAGAAAATTAAAACTGCAGATGCAACATGAGGGAAATATTAATTTTTATCTTTTTAGTTAGTGTTTCTTGTTTCATGAATTTACATGATAAAAATTGCATTTTTAGATTACTTTAAAGCATCTTTTAGCAAATAATGACTTTCTATTTCTGGATTTTAATTTTTAATGGAGAGTCTCCATAGCAACGCTTGCCCAGTCAATTGCCTTTGTTCTTTAAAATTAAAAAAAGAAGTGTGGAATTTATCTATTTCCAGGTTCCTACTTTCTTGTTATGATTTTGTTTGCTGACCTGAAGAACTCTGCATTGTCGTATCTCAGTTTTTGTTGTTGCTTTGTAAATAAATGTGCCCTTTAATACTTAAGGATAAAATCAATTAATTTCCTTGAGTTGGGTGGACTGGGACATCTTCCTTCCCTGTTGTCCGTATTTGGGATCTATGCCATGATCTGAATTTTTGTTTGTAGTTACCCAGTGCTGACCCACTGCTAAAAGAGAACATTCTAAGCTTACTCATATTCAGCATCTCTTTGCTTACACACAGAAAAACTACATTTTCCCTTTAAGCTGTCTGCCTATCATTAGAGAATATCCAGTAAAATATGAGCTTCTGAGATGAATTTTTTCATATAATTTCCAGCTTTTGTAATAATTTTCCATATTGTTTGTTTTTCATTTCTACACAAATGTCTTCACACTTACGCGTGTAGAAATTCATCAGATATAGAAACATTAATGAGTGTTGGCCAACTAGCTCTCATTCTTTTTGCTTCAAGAGAAAACAGAAACACTTAGGTTCTACTTTATAAACGAACGTACAAAACGTTGGTTTGGACATGGTGTATGTCTGAGATTACACCCATATATGATGTGACTGATGCTCAGCACGCATACGTGTGTAGAATCATAGAATGGTGTGGGTTGGGAGGGACTTTCAAGACCACCCACTTTCAACTGACTCACTCGATCAGGCTGCCCAAAGCCCTATCCAGCCTTCATGGTTTTAGATAGGAGGTAAGGGAAATCTGGATGGTGATGATGCCTCATACTTGTTTCAGAAAAGTTTTTGCACCCTGCAAATTTGAGGTATGCAGGTATCTGACTTACTTTTTCAGTCGAGGGGCACTGACCAGCTGTTTTCCCTGCAGTGAATGTAATTGTTTTGCAATGCATTGTCTGCTTTAAGGCAATGGGAATGTAACCCAGAACAAACATGCATGGCCCATCTGGTCCTTGCAGAAATTGCAAGCCTAGTGCCAGTGGTCAAAAGCATTGCCTCAGCAGAGATACCTGATTCAGCATGTCTGGGAGCTGCTTTGTTTTGAAAGTCCTTTGTGAGTAATGTGCTTTGTTTTACTTCTCTGGGAGAAAGGTAAGAATTGACTTTGATTTGTGTTGGAAGTCCCAAGCTTAGAGAAATGGAAAACTTCTTTATCTTGCAGTGTTTGGATAAAAGGAGGGAATCTGCATTTAAACAAATTCTTTATGTATTTATACATTGCTTAAGACTTGCCTCTTATTCTGATCCTCACATGTGCATTAACGGTTTTAGCATTCAGCATGTACTGTTGGCAAATACACAGTTGATGTTTATTGTGTATCTAATGAAGGATTTACCTTTTATTTACAAAAACCACCAGATAATTTTTCATAAGTTTAAAAAATTTATTGGGTGCTTAACAGGCTCAGAAATCACAACATCAATACAAAATTTCAAGTGTTTCCTATGACAACTGTTAATATCCACCTTTTGATGAAACAACAGCACCGAGTTGGTCTCTAACTCCTTAGCTTTCCACAAGGAATCCAACAAAAGTAACTCAGTACTCTGAAGATCAGAGGAATAGTAAGCATACCAGGAATGCAGGTCTGATATTCTGAGGCTTTAATTCAGCTTGTAAGCTTAATTTTTCCTCCTGTAAGATTAGGGACTACAGTCAAGTCAGAGATGTGACCTTACTGGCTCTTAGTGGTTATGTATAAACAATACATCTTGCTGGGGAGCTTGAAGACACAACCTCTTTGCAAGCTGTCTTGTTAAGGCAAATGGTGTAGGCTTGGAAAATTTATCAGAGTTCAGAGATCTCAGGCTGTGGTTTCAAGGTGGTTTTAATCTATCTAGAAGGAATTAATTTTGATCCCTCTTCAGCACTTCTGTTACTGTGTGCATGGTTCTCATGCTCGTTAAACCACCTGACTTTCTCACTCTTGACTTTGGCTTGGCTTCTGCTGTTTTAATAATCTAAATCGACCAATTAGACCTATCAGTCTCACCTCAGTGCCAGGAAAGGTTATAGAATGGATAATCTCAGGAGCCATCATGGACCAATTAAAGGTCGACCAGGGGATCAGGCCCAGTCAGCATGGGTTTACAAATGGTAGATCCTGTTTGACAAACCTGACTTTGTTCTAAGACAAGGTGACCCATGTAATGGATGAAGGTAAAGCTGTACATGTGGTCTGCCTGGGCTTCAGTAAAGCCTTTGACACTGTCCCCCATAGCATCCTCATTGAGAAGCTGGGTGCCCATGGTTTGGATGGGCGTACTGTCTGCTGGGTGAAACACTGGCTGGATGGCCGAGCCCAGAGCTGTGGCAATGGAGTTAGCTCTAGTTGGCAGCCAGTCATCAGTGGTGTCCCCCAGGGCTCAGTATTGGAGCAATTCCTATTTGACATCTTCATTGATGATCTTGATGAGGGGATTGAATGCACCCTCAGTGAGTTTGCAGATGACACCAAGTTGGGAGGGAGTGTTGATCTGCCAGAGGGTAGAAAGTTACTACAGAGGGTCCTGGATAGACTGGATCAATAGGCCCAGGTTAACTGTATGAGTTTCAATGGGGCCAAGTGTTGGGTTCTGCATTTTTGTCACAACAACCTCAGGTAACCCTGCAGGCTTGGGGAGGAGTGACTAGAAAGCTGCCTGATGGAAAGGGAGCTTGGTGTGCTGATGGACAGTTGGCTGAACATGAGCCAGCAGTGTGCCCAGATGACCAAGGCCAATGGCATCCTGGCTTGCATCGGAAATGTTGTGGTGAGCTCCTGTACTTGACACTAGTGAGGCCCCACCTTGAGTACTGTGTTCAGTTTTGGGCACCTCAATACAGAAAGGACACTGAGGTGCTGGAGCAGGTCCAAAGAAGAGCAAAAAGGCTTGTGAAGGACTTGGAGAATGTGCCATATGAGGAGCTGCTGAAGGAAATGGAGCTATTTAGTCTGGGGAAGAGGAGGCTGAGGGGAGATGTTATTGCTCTCTTCTGATGTCTGAAAGGTGCCTACAATGAGAGTGGGGTTGGTCTCTTCTCTCTGGTGATGGGTGGCAGGATGAGGGGAAATGGCCTCAAATTAGTTTGGATATCAGGAAAAACTTCTTTACAGAAAGGGTTGTTAAGCACTGGAATAGGCTCCCCAGGGAGGTGGTTGAACCACCATCCCTGGGTGTGTTTAAAAGCTGTTTGGATGTGGTGCTCAGGGATGTGATTTAGCGGTGAGTTGTTAGAGTTAAGGTACTGTGGTTAGGTTGTGGTTGTGACTTGATGATCTTGAAGGTCTTTTCCAACCTGAGCAATGTTATGATTCTATGAAAGCGAGTCACTGGGGTATCAGATCAAAACTAGCCAAGGTGTGTCAGAAAAAGTGGAGTTATCATCCTAAATCCACCTGTGCCTGAACTGAAGTATGAGCTAGCTGCCTTCTTCCTTTTACTCTGCATTATAGAGCTTTGGGTCAGTTTTAATTGTTTGTGCTAACATGAAAATCTGTGATTTCTAACTCCATGTCTTCTGTAGTTCAGTTTTAAATAATGGATTTTTTCTGAACCTGGAAAATGCAGTGTGTACAGATCCTCCTGAGAGTCAAAACAGAGGGAAATGGTTGTGTGAGACCAGATGAGGTGGATATACAGCAGAATATCCTGTGTGCAAGGAATGATGCTTTGCCCTCCTGGTTTGTCCTATACAGAATAGTGTGTATGCCTCAGGCAGTAAAGTTAGAAGGCTGTATAAAACATTTGAAGGCATACAGATTTAGTCCCAACTCTTTTCATATATATGTTTTGTAACAGCTGTCCCCATGAACAGCACATGCATTGATGTAAATCCAGGAAAAAAAAAATCTGGATCTCACCCAGTGTATCAGAAAGAGATCTTCATCTAGTATTCATCATCCTCTTCGAGGTCTTCACCTGCAGTTGCAGCTTCCAGTGCAGCCAGAGCTGCTGCTACTTCTGCGTCTTCCTCCTCCATTTGTCCATTGGTGTCTTTGTGGCTGTGGTGTGTGGGTGCCTGTGCTGCTGTGGGCACAGCTGTGGCAACAACGCCATTGGGAATGTCCTCACTCAAGCCTGCAGAGTCACTGTTAAAAGGCTTGATACTGCTTTTCTTCATATGCAAAGGTGAGGCTACGTGAAGGTCTTGGCCATGCATTGCTGAATGCTTACTCATTTGGTCTGGGTGTGCATAGTTGACTGAAATGCTATCTTTTTCGACATAGTTCCTGATTTGATTGCCATTTTGGCAATAATCTATATCTGGCAGTCTTATGGCATCATCATTTTGGATCTCCAGTACTGCACTTCCTCTGAGAAAGTTGCTGTCTTCTGTAGACTGGGGCTTCACACCTCGAATACTGTTTGTCTGACTGCAGTCTGCCTTCCTGTGTCTGCCTGCTCCTAGGTCAAGCTCTTGGCCACACTCATTCAATTTGGAGTGGAAGTCTCCAGTGTTGACTGAAGAAGGCTCTGCTGGCTGGCTGGAGGTGCCCTGTTCACTGGCTTTCTTCACTGAGTTTGTGCTGGGGCTGAGAATGGGGTGCACACCAGAATGGGAGTTGCTGCCATTGACTGCAACATCAAGCTTTGCAACACACTTTGCAAGGCTGTCATCTTGAAAAGCATCGCCTCTGTGGTTCCAGAGGGTCTCCCCTGTGCTGTTTACCTGATTTTTAATTCCTGTTCTATTTAGCTCATCCTTCTGGAGTTCTTTTTTCTGTTCTTTAATTTCACGATTGTGTTTGAATTTGAATTTATTGCTTCTTTGCTCATCTTGTTTGTAGCTGTTTCCTTCATGAGTGCATTCAGGTGATTGTAATTCTTCTGGATCAAAAATGTAGCTGGAATAAGAAAAGTTTGTAGAAGAAACGTTAGGCTATTAACAGTAGTACTTAAAAATGATTACGCTTCATTTTTAAACTTGAATTCTTAAGGAACTGGTGTCACTGAGGTTTACCTGAGGACCTGAGAATGACCTAAACTGAATGGAAATGTTGAATTATGCTGTGGTCTCCTGGGAGTAGTGCAGAACTGACCCCTGTAGTGAGGTTCACCAGAAGCCCAGGAAGATATCAGAGAACCTCTCCTCTTTCTCTTGTAGGACCAGTGATTTTCCCTCTTCCTCACCTGTTCTGGAGATGTGGCCAGGGAAAAGAATAGCCATTAAGTGAGACGGAAATGTTGTCTTTCTAAAAAAAAGTGTCCTTCTTCAGGATGACTTTTAACATAGAAATTGTTCTTGCAGATAATTTAATTAAAAATAAATAAGGAACTGTGACGAAAGCAAGGATCTGTAGCTGATTTTCATTTTTTAGGGGAGAGGGAGGTTCTAACAAAGTCTGTGCTCTTCATTCTGCTGAATTGAGGGTAGCTTATGCTACCTATGTAAGGAAAATCTTTTTGGTTAAGGTGAGATTTCTGTCCCACACAATACTTCTGTGGCTCATGAATTATAGAAATGAATTATAGGAAATTATAGAAATATAGAAATTTGATTACAATAAATCAAAAGGGCATTTGAGAGAAGGCATGATCTGGCGTGACTTTAAAGATACCCAAACTCTGGGAAAGCTCCAATCTCCAACTAATTTTAGCAGTAGGTGTGGAGGAGCACAGACGTGTTTTAATGCTTTTCTTTTATCCAGTTTAAATGTCTTTTATTGTACCTTTTTATCATTTTGCAGCACCTGCACCCCATCTGGATTTTCTTTAATCTGAAAAGAGAGAAAAGGAAGGCAAGGGAGAAGGAGAATGAGTGAAGTATTATGAAATTAATGCATGGGTAATTGTATTGAAAATCATGCTCGTGTTTAGAACGGTTTTATTAGTTAAATAGAAACACACCTATGCAAAAATGGATGCAGTGCAGTTCAAGCTCCTTGTAGTTTTCTATCTTGCATTGATAGTTGCCTGTAGTTGGAGAATAATCTGGGGAAGAATTAAAGAGCTCTTAAGCAGATAATGCTGTTCTTTCAGAATGTTTTTCCAGTCTGCAGCAGTTTAATGATTTGGAGACTCTTAAGATAAACTAGTGATGTTTTTCTATTGGCAGTTGGCATCTACGGCATTCTTTAGTGAGCAGCTCCACAGCTTAGCCTTGCCTGTGTGATGGATCTCCTGCTTTTGTGTCACTTAGTCCTGTCTCTTACTAGCAGAGCTCAGTGCCCTCTGGTCTGTGCGCTGGAGCAGGCAGGAGCATTGCAGGTGTGGCTGCAGTACAGGTAGTACAAGTCCTTCACTGCCACCTTTGGGTCCCATACTCTGAAGAATCTTCATGTGTTGAAATGTGGTGCGTACTGACATTGCTTCCTGCCCCAGGTCGTCCTTGTCATTGTTCTCTGGAGATTTGCATTTTGATATCCTTCATGAATGAAAGGTGGGAACCACAGTGCCGAGTTCTCACGATGTGGTGAGAGCTACTGAGCACTGCGATTCTATTCATCTCCTGGTTATATACAGAGAGAGATGTTGCTGGGCTTGGCGTTTAGTTATGTGCAGTGTTGTGTGCCTGTATTTTACTACAGGGGTAATTCCTCAGGGTTTGACTAGAGCTACCAAACTGCGAGAATCTTGCTACATCTCAGTATAATGCAAGCTTTCTGTGGATGTGTGTTATTGCCTGATCTGATGAGATGCTGAGAGCCACCAGCTGTGTGGTCGTATGTCACTCTTTTACTATGGGAAGAAACATCTTGTTAATTTGGACACTCGAGAACTCTTATGCTCTAAACCTAAATGAAGGCACAAAATATGAACAACCCCAAATCCTGGGGGAAGAAGTTATTCTTGATTTTACATGTTTGGGCTACCTTAATTCTAGTTAATCAAGTCAGGACAGCTTGTTAATTATTGTTGTAATTCAAACTCTATCTCTTCATGACCTACGATTTTGCATGCTTTTGCCATTGCCTACGGACAGCAGCTTGCTTCCCATAAGGCAGACTGATGACACAAGGTCAGGATATTTTCTAGAGCAAAGGAAATATTCAGCAAAGGAAAATATTATTGATGTGTCTGTACCAGGCATGGCCTGTACTTCTCACCAGTGATCGTGCTGGCAGAAATTATAATGCGCTCCATGTTGTTAGCTTATTATTCTCCTTTTTTTCCCCTCTAAATCTGACTTCCTTTGCTGCAAGCACTGTGCACAGTGCCTCACATCCAGTACTGTGTTTCTGGAGCCTCTTAGAGCCTGTCATTCAGCAACTGGCTCTTACCTGCTCCTGCCTGTGCCTTTACTCTTTGTGCCTCATCTGTCTTAGAGCAGAAGTTGCTGTAAGGGTTAGGCAGATTGCTGCAGCTCAGTGCCTGTCAGGGCAGCCTGCGCTGAGCTGCTCCGCTGCCTCTATCTGATGGTGCTTCTCCCTCTTCCTTAAATGCATTCTCCCTTCTTACACCTCTGCTGATTTCTTGCTGTGTGCCATTGTCCTCCACAATAATGTCACAGCAGGAATCCTGATGCAGTGTTTTTCGCCAAGGAGCCTGCAAGAACTGGCTGATGTGGCCATGAATACTGACCCTCCCTGTGCAGCTCTTCTGCAATCTGAAGGGATTTGGGCAAGTTTGATGTGGTATGAGGCTTGTTTGAGCCAACTCGTGTAGCCTCTTCTGGCTAATAGATAAAACAAATGACTCTTCGTTTGCTTGGATGCTTCTGAAAGATGAATTAGCTCAGGCATGTCTGGCTTGCCCAGTACCGTGTCATCATGGAAGCAGCTTTGGAACTGCAACTCAGCAGCAACCAGACAGTGGTGTGCTATGAACCCCATGTGAGCTAAGTCTGGGCACAGAGTGCAGTGTGGTGCCAGCTCAAGTAATGGCAAGTAAGTTCACGAATTGTGATGCAGCGGCTGAATGCAGTCCTGCGAACAGTGAAAAACATGCAACCTTGCTTTCTGTTTTGATGACGGAATTCAAGAACCGATTTCAAGATTGTCAAGAAATTATCTTTTTTAATATTTGTGACTCAGTTTTCAGTCAGCATAAATACGTGACCTGCAGATTTCTGAAAGTAATGTGTAGAGTTGGAATTAGACATTCAAAAATCTGATCACGTCTCTTTGTTGGACTGTCATAAGCCCTGTATTGGCAGAGAGAAATACCCCTTGCTTCATATGATGCTTTATTCATGTCATAGCTTTTTGGCAGTAATACATTTGTGACCAATTTTTTCAAGAACGAAGCACTGGAAAATTTTCATTACAAATCTCTGAGGAACACAGGTGGATGTTGGTGGTAGGGCAGTAGAGGCTGAACCTTCCCACCAACATTCCATTACATGCTGTGGCCGTGTGATGGCAGCAGAGGGGCACTCTGATAGAACGGCCTCTGACATGGAAGCGTGCATGGTGCAAAGGTGTATCGCTGAGTTCCTCTATGTGGAATAAATGGCACTCATTCATTGATACATACTGAAGGTTGATGGAAACCAAACGGTGCATGTGAATGCAGTAAGATGGTGGGTGGTGCGTTTCAGGAGTGGTGATAACAGCAGTGTGTCACCTCCACTGGTGCACGTTTTCACAAGTGTGGCATGCAGGCTCTTGTTCCTCACTGTTGAGAATGTATAGCTAGGGGTGGTGACTGTGTTGAAAAATGGTGTTCTGTAGCTGAGGATTTGCTCTATCAAGCAGTGTTCCTTTGCTCACAGTATGTGTTGTAGTTTCCATGGAAATAAACAGGAGGCATTACTTCTGGAATGATCTACATATGTGCTCCAAGACAATTCCTCTTTACTCAGTGCAGCCCAGGCAAGCCAAAATGTTGGATACCCCCGAGTTATCTCTCCTTTAGATTAGGAATGATTTGAAGTTAATTCAATTGAGCTAAGCTGTATGTTGACGCTTGTTTTGGTTTGAATCACATATTTAGTTTTAGCTCAAACTTGCTTCTAAAACAAAAGAGCAAAAACTGCTTAAAACTGACCAACCCTTGTGAATCTTGGCCTTCAAGTCTCAGTGGGTGCCGTGCATTAGGTAAGTCACTGTGACTGTGTGATTTGTCCATGGGAAAGACAACTTATGTTAAGCCTCTTTCTATAGAGGCTAAGCTGCTGCTATTCTTCATGCTTACCACAGGCTATGAGTATGCAAATATTATTTCAGCTCTGGTAAATCGTGATGACTTCAATTGCTGTCAGTTGGCAGGTGAATCCACTAAAGCACCTGTGCAGGCCTGGGTGCCTGGCTTTAAAGTGGCTGGGATTGGTGAAATCAGTCCAAGTCTGCCCATAGTCAGGTTCTGAGGGCAGATCCCGCTTCGAGCTG